TGGACTTGTCAGGGCTGAGGAGATAGCTCAGTTGGTAAAGGTCTTGCTGAGCAAGTGGGAGGATGTGAGTTCGGACCTCCAGCCCCCGTGTAAAAACCACAAAATCCCGGGGCAACATCGCACATCTGTAAGCCCAGTGCTGAAGGCTGGAAGGCAGGCAAAGACAAGTGGATCACAGGAGGCTGCTGGCCAACCAGTCTTGAGAACAGGAGCCGTGTCTTACCAGTTGATGTGTGGGTGGATGGATGGAATGGATGGGTGGATGAGTGGAGGTGAGTAAACGATGAACAGCAGGCTGGACAGATGGATGCATGAGAGAATGGGCAGAAGGGTGAGCTAAGGGATAGAAGGGTGAGTGGATGGATGGATGGATGGATGGGTGGATGGATGGATGGATGGACAGATGGATGCACTAATGGAGGGGCAAGAGCATGGATGATGGATGGATGGATAGATGGACAAATGGAGGTCTGAATAGATAGGTGGAAGTGGGCAGATGGCAAGTGATAACATGGTGATGGACAGACAGACAGACAGACAGACAGACAGACGGACAGACGGACAGACGGACAGATGGATGGATGCACCAATCCAGTGGGAAGGGTGGGTAGTAGGGGCAGGGAGTCTTTGCATGGGTAGGTGAGGCACTTCCTAGTAAAGTGGGAACAGTGAGTGACACCTAGTACAGTCTCTTGGACAGTCCTATCCCTCAGGAGCAGGGAAGGCATAAAGAATTCTTCTGAGGACGGAATGGTCCACTATGGAGTTGATTAATAGACATTTGTTTCCTCGGTTTCTTCGGCAGACCCTGTACCTGCAATGTTGCTGGCAGCTTGGACACTTGTGACCCCCACAGTGGGAACTGCCCCTGCAAAGAGAATGTAGAAGGCAGCCTGTGTGACAGGTGGGTGTGCTGCTCTACAAAGAGCTACCATACGTGATCCCCAAGCTGTGTAGTAAAGGGGGAGGCAGTGCAGAGTCCTCAGAGTTGGGCAAGCCTGCCACCCCATGCTCCTTCTGGAACCCTAGGGCCTGCTACTCAGGAAGGTAGCCAAAGGGGCACTGCTTGTATTGTGATCCAACAACACTGAGGGTTTATTAGCTGAGGAAATATGACATCGCTTCAAGATCAGATTCCTGGAAAGAAAACTCTGAGCAGGTAGGAAGAGCGTGTCTAATCATTTTTCAGCTCTTCCGCCTCACACCCGTGGTAAATGGAGAGTTGTCACAGCCCTCCCATCTCACACCAGTGGCAGACATAAGTAAAATGGAAAGTTATTACAGTCCTCCCATCTCACACCAGTGGCAGACATCACTAATGGAAAGCTATCACAGCCCTCCCATCTCACACCAGTGGCAGACATCACTAATGGAAAGCTATCACAGCCCTCCCATCTCACACCAGTGGCAGACATTAGTAATGGAACACAACAATCTTAACCTGAGATCTTCTCAATGCCTTTGCTCCAAGAAGCCCCTACCAACTGACCTAAGACAAGAGTCATCCCTGCCCTGTGTGAAAGGGCTAAAGGAGACAATCCACAGAAACCTCAAAGTTGGAACTATTTGAATAACAAAATTAATAAAGATACAATTGCTTTATGACCCTAAGAATGGGGCAGATATCTGTAATGCCAGTACATGATTGGATAAATAAACAGATAATGACACTGGGGCAAATCTTCCTTCAGAATTCTAAATGATGGAGTGGGTGGAGTGGGAGTCGGGAGTCGGGTTGCTGCCAACAGTAACCATGAACACTCATGGTCCCAGGAACAGGCATTTGCATAGCCTCAAGATTCAGCTCTGGAAATAGTTACTAACTAGAAGTGGCACACAGCAATGACTGTGCTGCCAACAGCAACCATGAACACTCATGGTCCCAGAACAGGCATTTGCATAGCCTCAAGATTCAGCTCTGGAAATAGTTACTAATTACAAAGGTGGTTTTCGAGTGTGTTGCAAGCAAGTTGTCTGATACTTTTCTCCTCCTGGAAGGTTTTTTGTTGTTGTTAATTGTTTTGTGGAGTTTTGTGCTTTGTTTTTGAGGCAGGTTCTCACTGTGCAGCCCAGGCTAGCCCCACACTCTGAGAGATCTGCCTGCCTCTGCCTTCTGATGGCTGGGGTTACTGGTGTGCACCACCATGCCAAGCCAGTGTCCCGCTTACAATGACTAAGCTGCAGCAACTGTTTAGAACAAGGAGTCTGGTGGGCAGCACAGCAGCTGGGAGATGATGGCTCAACTGCTGCCAATGTCACTTGGGAGGCTGAGGCAGGAGGATTATGAAGAGCACAAGGGCCAGGCCAAGGTATAAAATAAGACCCTATCTCAAAAGACAAGGGTGCTGGAAGATTGACTCAGCAGTTAAGAGCACTTGCATCTTTTCCAGAGGATCCACACGCTGGCTCACAATCATCTGAAACTCCAATTCTAGGGGATACAACACCTTCTTCCGGACTCCACAGGCACCAGACATGGATGTAGTACACAGATATGCTTGCAAGCAAAACACTCATACATATTAAAATTTTTAATTTTCTTAAAAAACAAAACAAACAACAAAACCCAAAGCCTGTTGTGATAGTGTGCACCTTTAATGTCAGCACTTGGGATGCAGAGGCAGGAAGATCTCTGTGAGTTCAAGGCCAGTCTTTGCTACATAGTGAGTTCCAGGCCAAGCAGAGCTACTTAGTGAGACCTGTCTCAAACACACACCCCATAGAATCGAAAGTGTCAAGATCACAGAAGAGGAGGGGGAGATGCACAAATCAGAGGCGACAAGGGCGCGGTTAAATGCAGTGTCAGGGCCTGGAGAAGGGAAACATGTCAGTGAGAAAGAAAAGAAACCCTGTTGCAGCCTGGAGTTCATTAACGTCAGCTGGTCTCTTGACTTTGAGGCTGTATGTCAGCTGTGGAGACACTGACCTGGCAGGCTCGGGACTGTCCTGTCTTTGTAATTCTTGTGCTTCTAAAATAAATAAATAAATAATAAAAATTAAAACATTTTCTTAAATTTCGCCAAGATTCCGAACACTCTAGCTGGACTCTGGTCCTTTCCCATCCTGGCTCAGATGCGTGACCCCCACCTGTTTCTCTCACAGATGCCGCCCAGGTACATTCAACCTGCAGCCCCACAACCCGGCAGGCTGCAGCAGCTGCTTCTGTTATGGCCACTCAAAGGTGTGTGCCCCTGCTGCCGGCTTCCAGGCACACCACATCCTCTCAGACTTCCACCATGGTGAGCAGAGCGTGGAAGCTGTCTTCCGGGGGTGGTTCCTTGCCCTGACTGGGGATCTCCCTTTGGAAGCCCTTCCACTGAGGCCTCTTTGGAGAAATGCTCTAGGCCACTCACAGCCTTGGTGGGTAGAGTGTGGAAGGGCACCCTCCAGCACCTGTCTTCTACCCCGGGCTCCTTCCCCAGCCTCTCCAGCACTTTATCCTCAGGGTGGTACTGGAAGGCTGTGTAAGGCCGCAGGCACAGCCACCATTCACCCCCAGGAAAGTTAGTCTCCCTACAGTCTTGGTCTCCATGTATTAAAGCACCTGCTGTATGCCAGGTACTGCTGAGCTCCATATTCCAGGGAATCTAGCATACCTGAGTTCCAGCTTACAGTCTTGGCCTCCATGTATTAAGCACCTGCTGTATGCCAGGTACTGCTGAGCTCCATATTCCAGGGAATCTCAGCCTCACTGTAGGCAGGTGTTCTCATTTCCATTTTACAGACTAGATACAAGCCTGTCTGAGATTGGTTCTGGCAGCCACGATTGTGTCTTTGGACCCAGAGGGGTGGAACTCCAAGTTCTGCAATCCATCAGAGCCGGTGTGCCCAGCCATACTCCTTGGAACATTTCCCCACACCTGAGAGTATAGTCTGGGGACTGGTCCTTGGGCATCCAAATGCAGAGGCAGTGCGCCCTCTGCTGGACACCACGCAGAAAGCAGGGCAGCACATGGCATTGACTGGCCAGAATCTAGCATAGCCGGTGCTTGTTCTCTGAATCCTGAGATAACATGGAGAAGGCTAGGGATGTAGCTAAGTTGGCAGAGCTCTTTCTGAGCATGTAAAAACCTCTGCCAGGATGTGGAATCATGGTCCTACCTCAGACCAGGCCTAGTCTTCAGAGATTGTCCTTCCCCCACCGTTCCTCTCTGAGACAGGGTCTCATGTAACCCAGCCTGGCCTCAAAGTCCCAGCCACATAGAGCCCTGCTGGACTTGTCACTGGAGGCCAGGCTTCGGGCTCTCACAGTTGGGGTGAATAGTCTGTCTTTGATGTTTAGGAGCTGATGGCTGGCAGGCCAGAAGCATGGGGACACCAGAGTATCCTCTGCAATGGAACCGGAGCGGGATTCTTCTGGGCCTGCAAGGAGGGGAGGGACTCTCAGCACCAGGTGGGTGACACATCCTCTGCAATGGAACCACAGCGGGATCCTTCTGGGCCTGCAAGGAGGGGAGGGACTCTCAGCACCAGGTGGGTGACAGTTCCCTGCCAGCTGCTGATACAATACCATAGAGTGGATGAGTTCTAAAAGACAGGTTGACTTCTGCTCAGTTCCTGTCCATCTTGCGGCAGCCTGCCTGTCAACAGAGCCCTGTGGTGGCACGCGGCATCTCATTCCTGTTCCTATGAAGTCCCCACCCACCCATATTCATCCATAGGGACCCCAGTCATTTCACCTCATCCTACTCGTCTCCCAGAGACCGCCCCCATGGTGGTCCGACTAAATTTCCACTTCTAAACAGCTTTCGAGGGGGATTCAATTTCAGCCACGTTTAGGGGTTCCCGGCACAACAGGTGCTGACAAGTGGCCATGGGTTCAGTGACTGAGGGCACGTTTATCCTCTCCGTGTTTTGGAAACCTGAAGCATGGAGTGGGTGTCATAGGACTGTGTTTCTTCAGGTCACTCCAGAGCAGAGACTGCGTCTCCCTTGCGGCACTCACGTCTTCAGAGTCATGTCCTCTTCCATCTTCAGAGCAGCTGTCTCTCTTACATTCACATCTGACCTGCTGGATAATCCAGTGGACTAACACCCCGACTCCATCTGCAGCATTAATCCTTTTTGTCTGGCCAAACCCCTCTGCACAGACCAATCTCTCAGGGTTTAGGGTTGGGGACACCTTTGGGCAATATGATTCTTCAATCAGACCACAGCATGTGTGAAATCACCAAAATACCGTGTGTGTGTGTGTGTGTGTGTGTGTGTGTGTGTGTGTGT